GAAATCCTTTTGCTTAATATGTTTAAATTTTCCGAACACCAAGGAAAACACACGGATCCCCACAGGAGAACTTTTCAAGATGACAGAATAAACATCTACACGACTGAAATAGTTGACTTTATTGACATTTTAGGTGGCTTATTTAGAACGATGATCTTAGAACGAGGAAGTTAAAGACCTTTAGAAGTCTCATTAAATTTACATCTTGCTTCTGAGCAACGGAGATCCGCAAAACCTTCCCAAGTTTGTGTTTCTCTCGGTGTTTCTGACAAACACCGGGAAGAGGAAGGGCTGCCTTTTGCAGTGAAGGTTTTATTCCGGAAAAGTAAAGGTGTTAGTGCATTTCAAAGTGTTTCTTAGAAGGTGGTTGGGTTTTGGTGGGATTTTTTTGGTAAGGAAACGTTTAAAGATGAGGCAAGCAGAAGAGAGAAAAACTTTCAGAAAAAAAAAAAAGAGGATGATATATTTCATGTAGTTTGTTTAAATTTAAAAAGTATCACACGCAGAAACTTGGGATAAGAAGTGGAAATGCCGTGTAGCGTGTCATTGGAAGTTTTAATGTTCAATACCACGTATAAAGAATCTTTTCTTTTCCATCCCATGCTGAGACTGTTTGCAAAGCATCTGCCAGAACACAGACTGCCGGTTTGGTGTGTTAAATGAATCAATCGTGTGTATATGTATCTGTAAATATATATATGTATGTGTGTATACACATTATACACTTTTATGTGTGTAAACATGCATACACATTGCGTTTTATATGTAGCTGACGAAACTGTGACATGCAGTATTTAGCCGAGCACCCCTCTCCTGTCGGAGTTTTCCCAAGGCCTGGTAGGGTCTGGAAGTGAGCAGCCATCCCCTTGCAGCAGTTCCGCGCAGTGACAGACGTTTTGAGTCACGCTTTGCCTTTGGAGAGTGGAGAAAAAAGAATGAGTAATCATTTTGTTTGAATTGCAATAAGTATGAAATATTTCTTGGGAGCCAAAAAAATCTTGGAAAAGGAGAAAGAGATTCTTAAATGGCTGGTCATAATAGGAGCATTGTCACATTGTAGTACGTCTGTCTTAAAGGGAAGAAAGTGTTGGGGTTTCCAAACGGTTCATTCATAAGTGTATGAACTGAGCAGGCAGGGTAGCACTCTTAGAAGAATTTAAACTAGTAATTAAAAATGAAATAACTGTAATTACCCACTTCTGGTGTAATAAATGCAATTTGTCTTTGATGTGAGCATCTAGTGAAAAATCCCTACCTCTTCACTTAGAGCCCAGTGAAGTGATTATTGGAAGAGTGAAAGTCTTACTGAGTTTCTTGTGTTGCCAGCAAGGTGCCTTTTTGTAGCCAATTTGCATTTTTGTTTCGTAACATTTTGGCTGATGAAGCCATTATGTCTGTAGATGCTGATTGCATAGTGCTTTTAAGGAGGTAAAGAGTGCTGCTGGAGGGAAAGTCCTCTTCTCTCCTTCCCTTCACCGCTTGCTAAAAATGACCTTTTCTTTTTTTTTTTTTCTCTGATTTGAAAACTGCCATTGTCTTTGAAATTTTCTTCTTTAAAGTAGAACTGTGTTTTAAGAAAAAGCACGTGTGCTGGCTATAGTTTTCTAGGTTAACTTCTTATTTTCACTTAGAAAATTTCTTTTCAGCTGGAAAAATGTTTTAAATTATAGCCATTTAGAAAAAAAATATTTCTAGCAAGCAAAAATACTGTGGAAAAACCTGTAATTTAGACAAGTACCTACATTTTATTTGCTCTATGCTGCTGAAATTTAGAATCCCTTCCCATTTACAGTTTACTTTTCACAGAACATTATTAACTTTTTGGCTTCATACATGATCTTCTGTCAGATGCTTTTGATTTGTAATTTAGCAAAGTATAATAAACAGTGCAAAAGTCATGAATTTTCCTCCGCATCCTGAGCTCTGTGGTAGGGAAAATGTGATAAAATGTGTACCTTAAGTCTTGTTTGATGATCTCTCAAAGCAAGTTTGCCTTCTGGAAATAATTTCTGGGGTTGAAGAGCATGGTATTAACAGATTTAATGTGGCTATTCAATGGATTGGTGGAGTACTATGTGAGGTTTAACAAAATGAGAGAGACAAATTGAACATCAACAAAACCTACATCTGTGAAGAATTAGAAATTTAATTAGAAAAAAGGCAAACTTAAAAGACCTCATTAACTAATCAGAATTTGATGTTACTGATTTAAGATTCTTAAATGGATGAATTTTAAGTAGCTTTGCTATCATTGTCCTTTTTTTCTCGCCGTGTACTGGTAATGCCCAGATCTGCTCTCTGTATTACAGAGAAAGATGTGAACATTACTTGCAATGATCAAATTGTACACAGTAATATTTTTGAGGTATTAAGGAGAATATGTCTGTTGTTCAGCATATAAGGCATTTTTAGTTTCAGTGGCACGCAGAGGATGAAGGGTGAGTGACAGCTCCTTTTTTCTCTTTTTGATTTTTTTTTTTTTTAAATGTGCCCCTTTGGCTGGCCGGGTAAGGCCATTGCAGGGTTTTTTTTTTTCCACTTTTTGTTTGATATGTGAGTTGTGTTGCAGAACTTCAATTATCCAGAAATCTGTTGGCAAAATGGGAGAATGTATGAGAGCAAGCACACGCCACCCAGAAATGTTTTTATTCCATGAACTGGTCGTCATAAGTGTGGTTCCTTACTACGTTGTAATTTTGTACTACACATGAAAAACTGAAAGCATGTGAAGTGTAGCATTTTGTAAACTGTAACTAATTTCACTCACATCTGTGTCTAATTGTTGTCTGCATTCGCATTCTTGAGAGTAGATTTATTTTTCCTGGACCACTCTGTGGATTCAGCTGACCAGCCTAAGTGAGGATTAGTTGTTTTAAAGTTATTTTGATTAAAGAGTCATTTTTAAATATGGTAACGTGCAACACATGGTTTAAATAATCCTTGAGACACAAAGGAATATATCTAAAGTATGTCTAATGAAAATGAAGATTGTGGATATGAACTTTCACAAATCATAGAGTGTTAGAGGACATATAAGATGTATATTTAATTCACTTTGAATGAGCTGTATTTTTTTTTCCTCTCTCATGAATCCATAAATGAAATCTCTGTCACTATGTACATACATTTGCATGTGTGTATATTTATATTTTTAAGTGTACAGAAGGTATTTTTTTATTTAATTTGGGTAGATAAAATAGTGAAGTTTAAATGCATTTTAGAGTTTAATGAAGTATGAATGATACTGTAGAACACTTGGGAAAATGTCAGTTAATTACAGCATCTATTTGAAAAAGGAAGTTTTTTCTGTTATAAAAGATATGTTTTAAAGGATCCTGTGCAAGAGGGAGTGAAGATAGCTCTGTAAGCAAACTTAGTTCTCACCTATAATTTTTTCCAGGTGTTTAGAAGTAACAGCAGAAACATATCCTAAGGCACTCTGCTGCAGTTTCTGGGGTAAAGAACTGGAAAAAAAATCTTTACACCAAAATGCACAGTTTTGAATGTATTAGCTCGATTAGTTTGATTTGGCATGCGATGCTGTATTGAAAAGCACATCATGCAGTACTTTTTAAGTACCCAGTTATAAAAGGATGGATGTTTTTCAGTGTGCATTATTGCATGCTTCTTGACATCATTTGTACTGTTCTACATTGCCTGGCTGCCCCTAGCAGTTGTTTACTCTTGCTAGTAGTAATTCTGTCTGTGATTAAAAATAACAAAAAAAAACCCCACCCTACAGACACATAAGTAGGATTTGCTTGGATGATTTTTATAGCGTTTAAAATGCCTCATCTCTCTTGTCTTTGCTCAGTGATCGTTTAAGAGATGTCAGTTCAGGTTGAATGGAAACGCACATGAAGGGTTCTCGATGCAGACATTAAGAGGATATATACCTTACCTGGAGAAGTTTTTGTGTGCTTTTAAGCTAAGTGTCTTGCCGCGTATCTTCACCTGAATTTTATCACCTGCTGACAATCGTTACTGGCTACAGAGAAGAGTCTGTTAGCAAAGCAAAGGTGTTTTTCTAGTAGGATATGAAAATCTATTACTCACCTGAGTTATAAAAGGAGCCGTTTTATTAAACTGGAAAATTATTGCTGGGCTTCCCAGTGGAACCAGATTCCTTTTCTTGATGACTGACCTCAGCGGTAAATGCTGCAGCTTCCTCCGATTTGTTTAGCCAGAAGTGCTCTTTTAAGTCATTTTATCAGAAATCTCATTAGCGACTGGAATTTTTTACGACTAAGACCTTGTGCAATAACATGTGGGGGGTTTATTTTAATTCACCCCAGTTGGAGATGGGCTCGTTTTGGAGATGATTGTGTCATACTGTTGGTCATATATTGAAGATCTTTACCATAGGTAGACCTGCCTCTTGTGTGTGTCCCCCACCTCCAAAAAATAGCATCAGCCTCTCTGGCTTACTTCACCCTTCACCTTTGGGGTGAGGTGACTTGCGGGTTTCCCGTTGCCCGGGCGTGGAGGAAGGATGGTGAAGAGCAGAGGAAGAGGAAAGCCAATGTGATGAGGGCAAGAAGCTGTCAAAGAGTTAAGGGGATGGGAGGGAGAGATAATTTGGCTGGCGATAACAAGAGGCGAGAGGGGTGGAGGATGCTGAGGGGCTCGGGGCTGGAGCGGCTCCTGCTGCCCTTGGCGGGGCGGTGGGGTGGGGGTTACCTTGGCCAGGGTGCGCGGCCGTGCCGTGCCGTGGGAGGAGTGAGCCCCTCTGCAGCTGTCACGGGCCCCTGATGAATCACTATCCCGTCACTTGGCCGCCGTCCCCCCGGCGCGGGGAGGAGGGAGAGAGACCTGCCGAGGAAACAACAGTTGAGCCTTCAATTTAAAGACAATATGCCTTTCACGGGCACCGCGCCCTCCTCCTCTCGTTTTGGGTTTAAAGGACAGAATTGTCATCCGTGGTGATATCCTTTCTTTAAATTAAGGCCTCGTAGTAAAGCGGAGTAATAGAGGCTTCTGTTTGTTTCCCTGGTTTACAGGTGCAGGAGTCCCAAACCAGTTCAGATGTTGCTGTTTCCTCAAGCTGCAGGTAAGGATTTGATTGAAAATTGCTATTTTTCTGCAAGCCTTTTATTCATGTTTTTTAACTTCAGGTGATAAGTAAATATTTGTTCCTGTTTTCTGCATTAAGCAGATGAGTAAGTGCTGGAGTGTCGCTTTTACGTGCGTGCAACCAAGCCTGTAAACCAGGAGTACGTACACTTTTTCACTAAATTGTTTGGCTTTATATTCGATACCGGCTTTTCAAACTCATTGCAATATCATCCTTTTTTATGTGTAGATTGGTTTAGGTATGAAATATAAAATAAAATGACATGCTTAAGGATACTTATGCCATTACAGTGGGAGGAATTTTTTATATAATTTTAAATAGTCTTTGGAAGAGCCTAAGCGTTTATTTTGAACAGAAAAATGACTGATTCAAATGCCTTGGAAGTTCAGTAACCTATGAAATTTCTACTGACAGCAATTACTTAGACTGAGTACATTAAATAACATTATCAAAAGTTTTAGGTATAAAGAAACAGAAGGATGGGGCCCTTCAATCATCAGCTTCCTCAGCATTAACCAAAGGATATACCATGGTGGTGATGGCTGCTGTCCTTTTTGTATAAGGCTATTGAAAACGCAAATCGGACATATTGAGCTGCTTGTGTGCTGTATAAATGTTTAATTTTTGCTTTGAATCGGAATTGCTCTCCTTATTTTGACCAAGCGACAGCTGCTGAGATACAGCAGAGTGCTAAGGCATACTAACGCCTATATGGATTCACTGTATGTTGGTCATATCCCTTTTCAATTGAGCACGCTTTATGTAATCCACAAAGCAAACAAGTGAGCAGACATACTAATGTTTTAATGCTGCATTTGTTTCAACGGAAACAGAGGAACAATTAAGTAGTTTGCCAGAGTAAACACATACATCAGGAATATCTCATTCCCTGTCAGTAGATGATAGGTTTCCACAATTGCTTCAAGTGTTTTATTTGGTTTGGAGGCCCATTCTCTTGCCACTGAGTGGTAGATCTTGAAAAACCCAAATTGTTAATTTCTTATTTAGAGAGTATATGTCTTCGTATATTGGTGATTTCGTCTTTGTACGTATCTTAAAAATACAACTTGACATGAATGTTTAAAGTACAGTGCTTTGTATCTAAATTTTCTTCTGTTAGAAGCTGCAAAAATAATTACGGTAGCTGGTCAGTTGTGTGTGAGGCTACACTAGAAAAGATCAAGTTGGGAGAAGCTATTCATTTTTTACTAAGTGTTTTTGGGATGTTGATTAATAGCGGGCTGCATCTCATGCAGGTAATTCCTCTGTAATCCGTGTTGAATATGTCGCTGAAACTAGTTGCATCTTGTTTTCAGGTCTATGGAAATGCAGGATCTAGCCAGCCCACATAGCCGACTAAGTGGTAGTAGTGAATCTCCCAGTGGTCCAAAACTTGATAACTCCCATATAAATAATAATTCCATGACACCCAATGGCACAGAAGGTGAGCCACCATTTTTTTAGTGTTTCATAGTTTGTTTTTTTTCTCCTTGTTGCATTGGTGTTCTTACAGTCAGTAAATCATGTAGAGAAAATGTTTTACTATTTTAAGTGTTACATGTTTATGTAATAGGGTGTATAGAGCCGATGTTCAGTGTTTATCAGTGGTCGCTATTATCAAGTTTCAGCAATAGCTTTCATTCCAGGTTTATGCTCCCTTCATGGAGTTTGAACAGACTGAGCAGGTAGTACATGCAGAGCTTAGAAAAAAAAAAAACCAAAAAACAAACCCAGAAAGGGTAGTTTAGTGATGAGAAAAACAGGACATGTTTACATTTTTCGTACTACAAAATGCAATCTTTCAGTCTTTTTCACTATTTCGGTGTTTCATTATGTTCTCACTTTTTGCAAGCTCCTAAGGCTATGAAAGTTTTGTCAAGTAGGCTAATAAAACTGAGTGTTGAAATTTCCTCGGGCTAGCTTGCTGCTCTGATAGAGTGGCCAAAATTCAAACAGGTGTAGTAATTCAATGGGGTAAACTGATACCTATTTTTCAAGAAGCAGTCAGGCAGTTGATAAGTTATGTTTGTTCTCAGTAGAATACTAACAGCAGAACAACCTAACAGCTTCACTGGTAATATAATACATATTTAATACATATAATAATACATATAATGAAACACAGAAGGGTTTATATAATAAGCAGCAAAAAATAATCTTTCCTGTAACATTTCTATGGTGATAGTAGAACAGATTGTACATGACATGTGGTTAGCTGTGTGAACAGAGATTTTAATGCATTACTACAAAAGAGAGTCACACAGCTTCAAATATTACTTTTCAGTATAAATGCATAGTTAAACAACTGTTGTAGCAGAGACATGCCTTTTTTTCTTTAAGAACTGGGTCATATTAGTGCTGTCAGACTGTTTGGGATTATGGACATGCATTGCATTCTTCCAGGAAAGGCACATGTCAATCAAACAGATGTCGTCCCCCCTCAATTTCCCAAACATCTCTGTTATTCATTCTAATTGGAGTCCTCTGGAGTGGGGAGGTTTTATGGGTTATCAGATTAACAGGCGTTTGTTCCAGAGTTGTGTATAATTTACTTTTTGCTGTTGCTGTAAAAGTATTGCTGCAATCAAATTTTAAGCTATTTAAAAAAAGGAAAAAAGTAAAGAAAAGAAAAAATAAAGAATAAATAAAGAATAAATAAAGTGCTTGTTTATTCTTCTTCTTAAAGAGTAAATAAAGTGCTTAATGTGTTAATGTAGTTTAAGAAAAAAAATATTTCATGTCCGCAGATGAGTCTTCTTCCTTTCAAATACCTAGGTATATTATTAGATTTTTATATCATATTATCAAGCATATACCAGTTTTGGTACAGGATAAAATTGCTTGACCCGTTGAAATTAAAATTCCTCTAGCTCACAAAAGCCTTTCCTGTAAACTTCACCAGCTTTTGTACCTTCTGTGTAACTTGAAGGTTCTTTAGTAGCACATAAATAGGGAGTGTTCCTTGAAACGCTGAAAGACACTCACCATCTGGCTCAACTTTGTGTTCTAAGTAGTTCTTGTGTGCAGGCATACACTCTGAAAAATGGGGTACTTAATATTACTTTCTCAGGAAATGAGAAATTGTGTCTATTCATGCATTGACCTCAGGTAGCAAATAATTTTGGAAATACTATCCCAACTTCTAGGTAGGTATCAGAGTTTATTGAAGAAAGTAAATTAAACCACGGTAACTTATTTATCTGACACTAGAATTTTTAAAGTTCAGGCTTATTAATTTGGGGTGAATTCTACCCAGAAAGCTCTAACTTGCCATACATGCTTATTTTCTGAGATGAAGGCAAATGGTTTTCTTTTGTTTGCGATCTTCCCCCAGGTGACATGACCCTCCTCAGCACTGCCGACTGGTTGCTGAGCCCTAGCACACAGACCCCTGCAGGTTTGGGTGGCTGTGGTGGGCGCAGCAGGCGTGGGCACTCGGCATGCATTTTCACGTGGTGTCCAGAAAGGGTCCCGAGAAATAGCTTGTGCTTGGCTGTGTTGGTCTAAACTTTTCTAAATCGAAAATCCCTGTCTCTGATTGCTCTTAAGTGACAAATAAGGAAAAGTTTGTGAAAGAAGCATAATTGGATAATTTATTTCTGAATTAGATGTGTGCCAAGAGAGAAAATTTGTGAGCGAAGCAGACATCTAAGAATCTGAAAGTGGAATTTTTGCTTTTAATCTGTTTTATCTTGAGAAAATGTTTGGTTTGGGCTCCTTGAGCTACTAAACAGGCTTAAGAAAAAATGGAGTAAATGAAGCGAGGTGTTTTTTTTTTTTTTTAAATGAAGGATGAAGTGAAATTATTTTTTCTGAGATTCTTGAAGCAGAATGCTGCTGAGACACAAGTGGCAGATTGTAAGGTTACAGTTGTAAGGGCTTGCCAAACACCTTTCTTAAAATGCTGCAGTGTCGTTTGCTTGCTTGTTGCACATGGAGCGGAGATGTGGGTTGCTGAACCTTCACATGTTAAATATAGCGTGTGAAACCAGCTTCTCGTCTACTGCACACTCATTCTCACTGACATGAAAGAGCCCTCCCTTTCTGGCATAAGGGACCTTCATGTGAATGAGAAGCAGGGCCTCTAGGTATTTGTGTGTTATAAATATCTTGTAAAGATATGTTAAATTTGATTTGACTATGGGTGTGATTTCGGCAGGTTTCCATACCCCGAAGTGCAGGAAATGTTCACTTGATGGGGGGGGGGAAGGGTGTGTGGAAAAAAAGAATAAAGAAAAACCTGTCCCAAAGTGAAATGGCCTCGTTTCAAACAAATGTTCCTTAATTCCTCTAAGGCATATTTTCAGACTTGTCTCTTATTGATGTTGTTCTACAAGAGGATGTGGTCGGAAGATAGCTCACTGTCATTAGCTAATATTTTTAGCTTCACACTTAGTGGTAAATTTTCGAAGCACTGAATGGGGATTTGTTTGTGTGATTGAGTCTGAGTTTAATCTCTGCATGCAGCTTTGACATCATAATTCTTTGTGTGCTTAATTTCAGTTTGGTAGAGCAAAATTACTGTAGGGCGGAACTGAGCAGGTAGTGCTGGCCGAGGACTGAAGCTGAAGAAATGCAGGGGGTTTTGGATAACTGCTATTTATTATCTTCTATCTAAATATTTTTAAACAAGTCAGATATACTACTTCTCATCTCAGCTAGCAATTCCTCTATGGGATTCTTTTAGAACATGGCAATTTCTGTAGAATAAACACTATTCTTTGAAGTTTGTTGTAGATCATGAGAGAGTCTTCATAGCTCTGTATGTATGTGTGGTGAGGGGAAAAGTAGCATTTCCTTGAGATCTTGATTTAAAATTATCATAGCTAATAAGCAGTATTTACTTTGCTGGTGTTTAGTTTTTTTCTTCCTCTTCTCCGCGCCAGGCAGCATGGTCTTCAAACCAGTGATGGGGAAATAACAAGGAAATTACAGACTCTGACCAGTTAGAAATTTCCCAGGATCAAATGCAGAGGATTAACACTAAAATATCTGGCTAAAGACACTGAGAAAAATCACTTCTGGCATGCCAAGATGGTGCTGATGATATAATACTGCAGTATTTGAGTTTTCTGTGATCTCTTAAGTATTTTTCTACAAAATATCTTCTGTCGTGGGGAATAACAAACACTGGACACTGTTAAAAATTGGGACCTGTATGACTTGCCTAAGAAAATCTGTTAAAAAAAAAAAAAAAAAGAATTGAAATAGAGATCAAAACGTTCATAGTTGTGCCTTATCTCTAATCTTCCTTTGTCAGCAAATTGCTGCAGTGGGTTGATACTGAAGGAGTTAAAGAAACAAAAACAACAGAAGCTAATAAAATTGTCATTTGTTAAGTTTTGGCAGCCAGCCAGTGGCTATTCCAACACCAGTGCCCACTTTGGTAGATATACTTCAGAGGGGAGAGGCTGCGAGTAATCAATAAATTTGAAAGAAGCAGCAAAGCTGTTTTCCATAGTGGACAACTGGATCCAGTTTCTACCTACAGTGATCTTTACTTCTATCTAAAGAATGTAAATCAGTTCTGATGGATTATGTAGAGTGAGAAACAGAAGCCTGTGGCCTATCATGGTGATGTTTTGTAGATGAAGATTGGGAGATGGAGCCATGGTTTTCCAAGCAACTACACTTCACGTTAGGAGCGTGGAGCTTCTTCTGCCTTCATTTCTGAGTGTTCAGAAGGACGAAGAGAAGCCATTTGCATACCAAGTGGGAAGGCAAAATGGGTAACAAATTGAAGATCAGATTTTCAAAGATACATAGGAAGGGAGGCTTCAAAGGGAGTTGGACATCAAAATTCCTTTGGAAAATAAAAATGTTCTTTTTTTTAAGTACCTGCTGCAACATGAGAATGAGATCCCACACAAAGACATTCAAAGCTCCCTACTACGTGACTATCTGATGGGTGGCCATTAGAAAGGTTGTTTTAAGTCTGGTGAACGTAAATCCATCTTCAGCATTTCAAAAGGCAGTGCTGCATAGTGTGTTTGCAATATTACAGAATGGAGATAAAATTGTTATCAGTATTTTCTGAAGTAATGGGGGAGTAAGATGTTGAAGTCCATAAAGAGTATGAGCTGGTCATTGTTATGGCACATGAATTCTGTAAGTAAATGTTTTGTTGAGTATTTGTTGTAATTCTAACAATACTTTGTAGCACTCAAAATAGTCTTTCAGTGTTGCAATCAAGCCTGTACATTGGCCATGAATAATTTTTAATTTTGTATAAGTTATTAATAATTTTTAATAGTTATGCATAATTTTGTGTACTTTGAGGGGCAAAGTTGTGGTAGGTGATGACAATCAAACGAAATGATCCTCCTTTGGGAGATTTTTAGTTCCTAGTATCTTTTAATTGCTTATTTCTGAAGTTTCTGCCAATTAGTTATACTGAAGTTTCTAGACTTGTGTCTGTGATGAAGAGCTTGATGGTATGAAACTTGTAATTACTGCGGGGATACCTCCATATTTAGACACTGTGAAATAATAGCCTGTTAAAGGTGAATCTAATCTTTGCGTTTCAGTAGGGTAATAGTGTCAAGAGCTATGGATGCTAACTTCTTTACTCAGCTCCAGAAGAGTGCAGGAGGACAGTTGTGTGGCCAGAGGCAAAGACTGCAGTGGTTCCAGGCCTCAGACTGGCAGCCTGGGGATCTGTAGGGGCTAGCAATCTGGTCTTCAACCTGCCGCCACTCCTGGAGGATAAAAACCAGATACACATCACTCCGACTGTTTACGTGAAGGCAAGGGCTGACTTGGACCATCTCTTCTTCCCTGCTCTTCACCTTTTCCTTCTTGCTGTGTTACATTGGATTTTTTCCAGACTCTTTGTCTTATCTGTACTTTTATTCTTCTGCTTCCTTAAGAGTCCTTCCATCTGTTCTGAGCACATGCAGCATAATGCTCTATTATTCCTCTTTCATAGGTTTTTGGCCAGTGAAATAACTTGCCTGCTCCTCTGTTGGCTCAGTCCAGCGACTCCTGTTGCAAGGTCTTGAGGAGATTGGCTAATAAATATTTGTGTATTTATTGTCTTTTCTGTATGTATGTGCATCTGTTTGTGAAAGCTTCACCATTTTGTTTTCCGCAATAACATTTTCCTGAAAGAAATGACCTCATTTAAGTGAAAAGTCAATAGTAATTCTGATTCCCACAGACATTTGAGGGAAAGTAAATACTCCAAATTACAAAGGACTTTTTTAAAAAAGAAAAGAAAAAGAATGGAACATCTTGGAAGCAGCATTATTGTAATATCATTTATGTTTGCAAGCTTCTCATAAACATTTTTGCAGCACATGCTGTTCCAGACTGTCGATGGAGCGTCGTTGTATGAGAGCACCCTGTGAGCATGCCTGAGAGTCCCAGAGCCCTGCTGGCACAGTGGCTTTGCACAGGCTGCAGGACGTCCAGAACCTGTGAAGATATAGACTACTTCACTGAAAACTGTAACTGCAACACATCACACAAAGTGTGACATCTCTCCAGTGGGACCAGCCTGTTATCTGCGTGTATGCAATTGCGTGATTGCACAGCGTAAAATAAAAGTATCGTACTCCTGGCCAGTAATAGAGACGAAAAGGAAATCCAGGCCCTGCTGTCAGTGTGCACCAGGAGAAACTCTGAGGAACAGGAGCAGGACATCTAAATCTAGTCTTAAGATCCCACCTTAATAGACAATAGGGTGATATTTGAAGAGCCTTGGCAGCTTCAGAGACTTGTGACCCTTCAGGTGATTTGACACTTTCGTTTGCATCTTGTAGTCTTCTGAGGGGGTCTGCTTATCATAGGTAGATAAAAAAGTGTGAAACTTGATTACACTTCAGGGTTAGTTGGGTCATCTGACCCCTGGTCAGTGAGTGAAGTACCTGTGCTACCTGGTCAGTGAGTGAAGTACCTGTGCTACCTGGTCAGTGAGTGAAGTACCTGTGCTATCTGGTCAGTGAGTGAAGTACCTGTGCTACCTGGTTTCACTAAAGGCAAATTGCACCTGACAAATTTAGTGACCTTCTATGACAGGGTTACAGTGTTGGTGGACAAGGGAAGAGCAACAGATGTCATCTACCTGGACTTGTCCAAAGCTTTTGACACTGTCCCACACGACATCCTTGTCTCCAAGTTGGAGAGACATAGATTTGACAGATGGACCACTTAGTGAATAAGGAGTTGGATGGATGGTCGTACTCAAAGAGTTGCAGTCAATGGCTCAATGTCCAAATGTAGACCAGCAACGAGTGGCGTTCCTCAGGGCTCAGTATTGGGTCCAGCGTTGTTTGACATCTTTGTTGGTGACATGGACAGTGGGATTGAGTGCACCCTCAGCAAGTTTGCTGACGACACCAACCTGTGTGGTATGGTGGACACACTGGAGGGAAGGGATGCCATCCAGAGAGACTT